TTACAGGAATCCATCCAAGATTTGCTTTTTAAGAAATTAGATTAAAAACTTCGGTAAGGCTTACGTTGGGAAACATTTTATGGACTACATTTTCAATTCATTATCCGACTTTAGATCATATACTTCCTTATTTAAGTAGAGGCTTTACTGTATGACAGCAAAAAAAAAATGTAAAGGTCGCTATTTCCTATCGGGAATTGATTCGTAAATAAAATTAATTTAAGCCGATTACTGATCGAACAATGAGATTCCTACGCAGTGCTAACTGCATTATGCTGCGCTTGAACCCTCCAGTGTACTATCTGAAAATCTATTACAGTAGTTTCTACTACTGTATAGATTTTCAGATAAATATTTTCAGCCTCTATATAGTATAGTTTAATGTTCCACAGGTTTTAGTATCTTAACTCTATATTACTACATTCTAGAAACCTTTTCTTCCCAGAAGTGGCACTGTAATCGGTTGAAATGGAATGAAATGCTACTTGAAGCACACACAGAAAATTTTGTTTATTCCTATAAGTTTTCTCTCTAAAAAGGACTAGATGATTTAGGTCGAGGCATAGTGCCCTAGCACAAGGATTCCTTTAGTACTGTCTGTCGTGTGCACGATTTGTACACATTTAAATAAAACAGTCCCCCCATGACCACGGCTGCTGCAATGCATGCAAAGTCCGAAACCTCGGGCCGTAGTTGGATTTAAAATTAGTTAACTAATTTAGCGTTTTAAACCTAGGCTCCTAAGCCTAGGGTAAAAAAATGACCCATTTTTACTACTTTTTTTGTAGTCGGAGGTAGATATAGAATAAATATGTAAGTTATATACATATATGTAAATAATTTTGTATGTTCTGTTTAAATCCCAAAGTAATATAAATAAATTCTAGCGGCGATACTATATAGAAAATTGATAAATTATTCATATAGGCATTCGAAAATCAAATAATACAATAATTATTATCACCACTTGTTGCGTCCTTTCTAGGCGAGTTGCCAGTACCGATTATTTCAAGGCAGTAACGCAGACTGCAAAGGCAGCTGTATTGAGACGGGGGGCGGGGTTCAATGAACTTTGCATGCACCCCACGTGAGCTTACTAAATCATTTTCAGGCTTGAAATCAAAAATAACAGCGCAGTTTCAAAGCGACATTTTAAAGTTGCTGGAAACATACGACGCTTTTTGGGTAAAAGCTTATTGTCTGGTTTTAGGTTTTATGAATACCAGTAGTATCCGGTAGTGGCTGCTTTTACGTTTAACTGAAACTTTTCTCTTTCATCGTCGTGGTAATCTATACTTATCTATAGTCTATACTAATATTATAAATGCGAAAGTAACTCTGTCTGTCTGTCCCGCTTTAACTCCGAAACTACAGAACTGATTTAAATTAAATTTTGTACACAGATATTTTAGAGCCTGAGAAAGGACATAGGCTACTTTAAAACATTTTTCAACCCCTATGAACCTTTCATAGGGGTTGAAAAAGGGGATGAATGTTTGTATGGAGGCTATAACAATGAAGCTTTCTTCTTTGGCTTTTTAGAATAGGAGTGGGAATAGGAGTGAGAATAGTAGTGGGAGTGGGAGTGAGTGAAGTAATGAGAGTAAGAGTTAGAGTAGGAGGTGGGAGTGTTGCGGCAAAGTAGCACTTACAACATAGATAGGTTGCATTAAATGCGCCCTTACATATACATTAATAAACAGCCTAAATATTTAAAAATTCTACCCCAAGTCACTATTCCACGTGAACGAAGTCGCGGGCATAGCTAGTGTTTTAATAAATCTTTTGATACTTATCTATAACCTATATAATATTAGGTAATCATTGAACAGTGAGTTTTTGAAACATTGCTTTTGTGTTTTAGTTTAAAAAAATATATTTTACTAGTTTAAAAAAATAAATGTATATATAATAATCGTAGTTATGTATCAAATTTCAATGATTTTGTGAATAGAATGTCCTCGACTTAGTGGAAATTTTTAAAGAGCGAACACAATGACTTAGTTCAATGGATTTTAAAGACCTATTGTTTTTCCGTTTGTAAATGCATGGCGCAACGACTGTATTTATTTACTCAGTCTTATAAATGGACATACAGTACTATTCTTTATTTAAATGTGTACTACTCGCGTAAACTATAGACAGTATTTAAACGTTTTATATAACAAACCGAAATACTGAAGCTGAAGAGGTGGGTGTATTGTAGACTCAAAGCCAAATCCGCTACGCAGGTAACAGATGGCGCTAGCGTAGCAGGTTGACTTCGCGTTTTAAGCGATAAAAGCGTTTGATTGAAATGTGTACTACAACGTAAACAAGTTTCTTTGAATTTTAAAAAGCTCAGTAATCGATTTTCGTTTATCTTGTATTTTCTGTCAAAATTGATGTTCGTCACTATACTTTGACTTACAAAAATAATGATGTTTATCTTTTGTTCATTTACGTACAATAGACTAAACATTCCTTAAGTAAAAAACGAATTTCATGTTTCCAATGTATTCAGTAGTAATTTTTCAATAGTGGGCTTAGCCAGATGGGCTTTCCTTTATAAGTACAATTTATATTTCGATGTTATTGTCGTAAGAAGAACTTTAATGATTTTTTAATTGATTTTATGAAGGATTAGAATTATACTACATTACAATCTGTCAATTCGTATGTCAGTGAGAGCTTACTTACATACTGATTGTTATCTCGAGTTAAGTACGTTACGATTAATACCAAGGTTAAATAAGAAATAAGATATGAGATATAAAACTCTTTAAAACAAAGATATTAGAGAAATTCCACCATACTAAATATTATTAAGACCTAATAAAGTTCACCAATTCGTGTTGTAACGAAATATTTTTTGTGAAATTGATTTAAAATAAAATATATAGTACACTAGCTGTTTCAGCGACTTCGACCGCGACCCGTCGTTCTTGCAAGGTAATCTTAATAGATAGACATATATTGGTGCGGAAATTTTTAGATAATTTAAAGAGAAATCTTGCACGGTGTTCGTAGTGTACGCAAGGAAACAAACAAAGATGAATCGTTCCTATTCGCAGCAGTTGCAGCGCGATGTTTCAGAGCCTATCCTTCCTCAGTAAATGCTCTATATAAAAAAAATGTATGTATGTTGAAAGCGCTAATCTCAGAAACTAGTAGTTTGAATTAAAAATTCTTCTTTGTGTTGGTTAGACCATTTATCGAGGAAGGCTATAGGCTAAATAACATGCGACTAATGCAAGCGAAGATAAAGCGAGAAATGTGAAACAAAAATTAATCATTTCGCGTTTCCGAGGCGTACGTGCAAAACGTACGTCCGTAACGCTATATATCGCGACGCGACCGAACAGCTTAACTTCATAAATATGAAGGAGTTTGCAAAAACGAATTTGGATGCCCAAAATAACGATTCTCGCGGACGAAGTCGCTGACACAGCTAGTATTAGTATAGATTAACAGGACTTTTATCAATCTTACATAATATTTTTTCCTCGATCCGGTAAAAATAGCTCGAGTTCAGACTCTATATACAGTTGATTCAAGACAAAAGGCAGATTAGCCGAGTTTCTTAGTTCACAAGAAATTTCTTTGGCTATAGTCCAATACCTTGACTCGTCGAGTAGTACGGAACCTTAGCGTCGTCTTTTAAAACCCCTCGATTGTATTGTTTTGAATAAAGTTTTTCTTCGTTTGTGTTCTATTTTCGTTTCGCTTCTATTAAGAGATACTGCAATAAAATGTATAATTGTATGTGTATTATTTCATTTAGTGTGTAACTCTTTCACCATTAAATGACTAATCTCTGGAACTCCCCCCCCCCCAATGATCTCATAACACTTCATTCTCTCCGTTATACCTTTTAAGTTCTTTAATTGCCTTTCTTTTCTATTATTCCTCTTAACACCACCTACACTCTTCTTTGTTTTTCCCTTCATTTCAGGTAGCCTGGTAGATATCACTATTTAGCGATAAGGCCGCCTTTATAAGCTAGTTCATAAGATTTTGTATTCATTCAATTCCTGTTGTTTAAAATTAATAAAGTAAATTAAATAAATAAATTATACATGACTGCTTGAAGTCAGAATACATTGAATTAAACAAAATTCCTTTTCATTATATAAAGCATGCTGAAAGCACGGCCCGATTTATTTACAAATAAGTAACTTATTTGCGTACCTACCTGTATTTATTGAAAATATTGTTAAATCTACAATAGAATTCCAAAGGTGTTATATATCTAATCCACATATATGTTATGTACTCTATAATTTTGTTGATAAAAGAGGGTAGGGTCAATCATATGGTTCACTCGACTAAAGCTGAAATAAACCAGCCACATAACAACTCGACAAGATGGGCTGTGGGCCTATTTGTAGCTTGCTATTTGAAAGCGAAATTTGTTTAAACTTTACTGCTTGTAATATCCAGATTTACAGATTAAGTTCGACATGTTTCAGGATAATTATAAGTTTATGAAAGGTAATTATTAGCGATACATTACCATTAGACCAAAGAGCCCTACGGTCTTACTCTTTATTGATTTCAGTTCTAGTTGTATATGATTAGTATAATTGTGTTAAGTAAATTGTAAATACCTTGTCCAGCGTAACACAGGTAATTAGAAAGACTTCTGTCTTCTTTCCAGCTGAACCGATGTTCCCCAGAATATTCAATCAATTTAAAATAAAACAAAAGCTTACTCATAATTACTTTATTTATTGGATAATTTAAAATGCATCGTCCGACACTCAACAGTGCCTCTTACATGTCTTTATCTAAACGTACATTGAGAATTACACCTATTAAATAATTACGTCAATAAATAAAGTACCCGTGAAAGAAAATTCACTCGAACGGAAACAAAAATCACAGTGAGTCATCAACTGGAATTGAGAGACGACATCGATCCGTTAACCCGTAAATGCTATACAAAGATAAGCGGCGTGGAATCTATTTCCTATACATAACTAAGACACTTAGAAAATCTACATACTTACAAACCTGCACTAAGAATCTAGACTTTTAGAATTTTTCAGCGGCCGAGTCGAGTACGGCGCCGCTTTCACTTTTTTCTTATTATCTAACGCGAAGGAGTCTGTAAACGCCGGACATTTGGTGCTCGGCGCGCTGTTCCCCGGGGAAACCCCGCTGTCTGTGCTAACGGATGCCGAACTCGGGCTGTCACTTGGATTATTGCACACCGTCAACTCTTGCCCGGGCATAGACACTATCTGCCCGACCTGCTTCTGCCTCACCAGGTTTATACTTTGGCACATTTTTCCGTCAGTCTCAATCGCCTCCTTCTTGTGGTACCTCGTTAGGGTGCCGGCGGACCCGGCAGAGTTCGGTCGGTACATGGGCATAAAAGGTGTCTGGGGGTAGTACTGCATTTCTGCGCCTTGCCCGGGGATCCAGGGACCCATAGTTGAAACCACAGGGGGCATGTGCATGTACATCGGTACTGGAACCATGTGAGAACCGTCCGGAAGTGGCGCGAAGCCGGGAGCTACCGCCATTGGTCGGACTACCCCTACTGGAGTAGGGGCACTGTGCGGTCGCATCGCTGGGTGTGCGTGCGCGTACTGAGGAGCATATTCCTCGCCCTCATACACCCTCGGATGTGGTATTTGCGAATAATCCACATTGGGGAAAACTGTGTGCGGTCCGCGTTGGAGATATGAGAACATCTGCTGCTGAGCTTGCTTCATCGCGACGTATTGCTGCAAATGGAATGCCGTTTGTTGCCTCTGTTGCGCTAGATCTTGCGTTGTCGTCGATGCATTTCCGTGGATGTAATAGATGTTGGATTGAGTATTAGTCTGCGCCACCTGTGGCTGTTTCTGGGCATATTTATTGTCTAACGTATTGTTTTGGGGATCTTGATACTCTTCGGGTGGGGCTATATATTTCGGAGTCGAGGGTGGTGTAACCTGCTGTGAGATAGGGCAGCTGATAATCTGAGCTATATACGGTTGCTTCGCTGAGTGTGCCGGACTATGCGTTTGGAATGTGGGATTATAAGTTATTTGGGAGTCTTGACTAGTATCTGACTGCGAGTCGATGTCCTTTTGAGCGGCTCTTTGGTTTTCATTGACTTCGTTTTTCTTTGGTTTCTGGTAGGGGGCTACCTTGGGATTGGATTTCCAGTTGGCGCCTGCGCTCTGGGGTCGTTTAACGGGTGATTTCGTGGGATCCTGCCAGTTGTCGCCGTTGACGTGTCGCGGATCGTGAGGGTGGTGCGATTGGGCGCTTTGAGCTCGACGCGGGGGTGGTGACATGCCTTCTGGGACGTGTTGCTGCCGGTAGCAGCGGCGTGCTGTTCCAGGACTGTGTCTTTCCGGCGGTTGTGGTGGGATAGGCCTATGTATTCTTCGTCGTGCAGGGGTGGGAGGGCTCGGCTGCGACTGTGAGGACTGTGTAGACTGTGAGGCGGATCGCCACATATCGATCAACTTTTTTCGTCTCTCTTTCTCTAACCGCACTTCAGTCTCACTCGATGAATCGTAGTCTTTGCCCTGTGTATTGAGAATACGTTAATGGAGATATGTTATCAATATTAAAATAGTATGTATGTTGATACGAACCTTTTCGATCTTTTCGTCCAACATTTTGAAAAAGTCCTGCATGCTGGCCGACGCCTCACTGTAAGACAAATGTGTAATGTAATAAAACAACACAGACGGCATTAGCACATTTGAACGTGAATATAATAGACATAATTAATAATAACTGAAACTTGACTACGTATTTTTCATATCTATTGAGAGGTGGTTAGACAAATGATTAACAGGGGTGGTAAAATATTTTTTTTAGATCTACGTTATAGCTTTGATATTGGGTACACTGTACTTACACAGGGGGTGGATGATTGGTGAGTGGCAAGATATGTTTGCTGGCCTCCGCCTCCTCCTCTGTGTCCTCTGGGGGAGCTGCGCCCGTGCTGCCCTCTTCTTCATCTGTTTCCTTTTCTCCTGCGCCTGAAAAATATACAAATTGTTATTTATGTTATTTTAAATGTTTGTTTTAAAAGTAAGACAATAATAACTATAATGTATTAATAAGTATTATCTATTATGTTACTTTTTATAAAATGTTGCATTGATGAATGAACGTTTAATTCAAACTTAAATTTTGAATAACAATAGTGGCTCAAGTTTCGTATATTTTATATAATCAGTTAAAGTTTTGTTAAATTGTGTAAGGCTCTCACGGCCATCGTTCAGCATATCATTGTCTATTTAAATCTGTACTAGTCACATAAACTTCAGACAGCTATAATATTATAATTTAAAAAATTGTTCAAAACTTATTTTAATGGTCTCCGTTTGTCGTATATCTATTTCTAGTCGTCACTGTTAACTAAAGTCCCTAGATACTGTAATGGACTGTAATGCATGATAATTTATAGCAAACACACACAGGTGTTACATAAACACGAAACGCAGGCAACGCCTCCAGAAGGTAAACATTGACACATTTCTGCAATTAATCGAATGTATCGATGCTGTTAGTCCGAAATAAAGCTAGACAAGCATTTTCCCACGAGTGAATTACATGTTCCGTGCAAATTAAATAGAACGAATTAATAAAAGTTAGGGAAATATTTGTATACGGAGGTTTAAAATGTAAGTATGAATCCCAATATAAAACTCTACTGAGTATTTAAATAAAACACTTTAACGGTTTAAAACGCGATGTATTAGTTAAACTTATTTGAAAATGATTTTAACTTCGGCCCGACGTTTCGGATGCTTTGCAGCAGCCGTGGTCACGGGGAGACCATTTTCAAATAAGTTTCACTAATATATCGCGTTTTAAACCGTTAAAGTGTTTTATTTAAATGTGTACTACTCGCGTAAACTATAGACAGTATTTAATTAACTCTACTGAGTAATCAATATATATGTTTCACTAAACATTTTTTTTGTGATAAAGGAGGGCATGGGGTTTAAGAAGCTGAGGAGGTTGTATGCAAAAATAAATCATACAATCCCAGAAATAGCTATTCCACACGGACGAAGTCGCGGGCACAGCGCAGTAATATTTCGCTGAAGAACTCTACCACAAATTTAATTACACAACACTATGATTTTTATATTCACCTCATTTTTCATTTAACACGTAATAACCCAGTTTTAATTAGGTCATTTTCAACGGATTTCTATTTCGAAACGGTTAATCGTTATAAAAGTGAAATACCGTTTCCCCCTTATGGGGCATGGGGCGAACACATTTTCGTGTCCGTTTGACTGATCCGTTCTTTTTAACAGGCAAGTAACTACTTGCCTGGTAAAATCAGACTTCGGCGCCCTATCCCACAACGAAACAATTCAAATCCGTCCTGGCTTCTGGGCTCTCTTGCGCATAATGTAATGCCAATGCAAGGCAATACGTTTACAAATTTGGCTACAGTTTTTACCATACAGTTCTACCATAGTTAAAAATACTTATTTACTTATAGGGCAATCCCTAATAATAAGTGAGTACTGTCAGTAGTTTACGCGAATAATACACATTTAAATAAAACACTAACGGTTTAAAAGGCGATATATATTAGTTAAACATTTTTGAAAATTATTTTATCTGCGACCCGACGTTTTGGCTTTGCGCAGCCGTGGACACGGGGAGACTGTGTCTTGTGTGTGTTGGTCCGGGTTTACTGTGTTTAATGTAACGGGCAGGACTTAACCTGGCATCGTCAGCTTTCCGTGCTGTTACTCCTTGTAATACCTACCTCCATTAAATCAAGTGTTTCCCGATTCGAAAATTGTATTAAATCTAAAATAGGTTTTTATTTCACAGACAAAGAAATTATTAGATTTCTGTGCTATGCCCGACCGAAAAAAATTATTGTTTCACCAGGATTCGGACCTAGCACCTCTCGCTTAACGCAATTCTAGGATTTTAACCATTTAGCTACAGAGGCGGTCAAGTTAAACATACCTTACTCGGAACCATTATATTGTAAAGTTGATGTCAAATACTGTCTATAGTTTACGCGAGTAGTACACATTTAAATAAAACACTTTAACGGTTTAAAACGCGATATATTAGTTAAACTAAAGTAACCTAATAAAGTAACTAAATAAATTTTAACTAATATATCGTGTTTTAAACCGTTTATTTAAATAAGTTGATGTTATTAAGCCTAAAAATGGCTGATGTATCGCGTATAACACGCGTTCATCAGGGCGTAAAGATATAAATAGAACATTTTTCTTGAATACATCCATTTGATTCCGTCGTAAATAAATAAGTAGGCGGCATTATGAGCTTCTCTGAGGCCCTTCATTTGGTAGAGCTGTCGTGGCCTAGCCATTAAGGCTTGTATATTTTATGGCCCGTTAACCGATGATATCTCAGCATATAATGCGAATTTTCCAAAGGTATCGTGAAAATTAAATGGTGAATCGCTTTTGAATATCATTCATTTTTCTTACGCTTTTTATTCGAGTTTGGAGTCTATACAATCAATGCAACGTGTTTCTCTTTAAAATACGTATCTTACTAATGAGTTATGCACAATGCTTTATGGACTAGCTGACCTGGCTAACGTTCTTTTGCCATATGCCATATTTCGGCCAAATTTGATTTCCACAAAAACGGTTCTTGTGTGTTATGCCTAAATGATTATATACTATCATGGAGATATTGTAGATTATTTAAAGTATATTAATTTTTCACCGTTTTCGCAGCCTACGCAACGGAATCCGTCTATGATGAATAATTTTCCCTCTTTTTTCCACATTTCCTTTCTTTTCTTCTATAGGTTTCCTCGATAAATGCTCTAACCAATACAAATATTATTCTTCAATTCGAACCAGTAGTTACTGAGATTGGCGTATTCAAACAAACAAACTCTTTAGCTTTATACTATTAGTATAGAGTATCATGTTAAACACAAAATATTTTTTTATTTAGTTCTTGATTTGATTTCAGTATCCTTTAAAATCAAAGTATGTTATTTTAGATTTATATAATTCCATATGTTAAATTTATTGTTTAAAATGGTTTTATTTACTTTGATTTGCGTCATATGTAGTATTATCAAATTTTAAACTTAATACCAGGTACTTTATATCTATATACAATAAAATAAGTAAGCAACACGAAACGTTATGATGTAATCTATTGCGTGTTAAATTTATATTAGTTAGCTATTTCTTCAAATTAAATACATTGCTATAATAATTAATAGCTATAGATTAAATAAACAGCGTATAAGACGGAAGTTTCAAACTAAATAAGTTGCGCAACTTTCAGGGCCTCATTAGGGAAGTTCACCTTTGTGTCTTGATGCATGCAACTAAGTTTTCCAATTATATCTCAATCACTCGCTCACGCTCGAATAATCGACACTCGATTGCATCGGAAATCGAAGCGTCGATATTAAAAGGATATTGTGTTACAGCGAAATTAGAATCGAATTTGTATCTGTGGAAATTTATATAGTCTATAGATGAAAAAGCTGTCAAGTTTAATCGGGTTTTGGTTGCAGTCTGTGGAGTTTTCCGAATTATCAAGGCCAAAATAGGCGGTGGTGTTTCACATTTTAATGCATTGTCCATTTGTGTCTGTTAAAAAAAATAGTTATTATAGTTGACTAGCGGAAAGTTTATTATTATAGTAAGTTCATACGTATAAAAGGGATCTAGGCGTGAACAAGGAACAAGTGAAATATTAAAACACCGTTTCCCATGTGACGTCCACATTTCTGTGTCCGTTTTACTAAACGGAAAATTATTATCAAGGTATCTATTTGCCTGTCTTGTGTGTTGTCTTATCTGCTTTTCCCAACAAAAACAATGTATCGTTTCCCTGGAATTCGTTTTACCGTTCAGCTATGGAGTATCAGGAAGCGGGAACGAATATAGGATTCATTCGGCGAATTTATAAAATTAGCTCGTCTGTCTTAAAGTTAAAACTTTAATCTTTTCGGTAACTGGTCTTAGTTGGGATTTAACTGCCTATAAATAAATAAAGCTTGTATCTAAAGCGGTCTTCTCATGATGAGGTTTGTTGCTAAGCATCCGAAAGGGTCGGGTCGTGATTAAATAATTTATATATTTAGAGTTCTAAACCGTTTAAATGTTTAGGTAAATTCAGGTTTGTATCTTGTCAATTATTTATTTGATTGAAAAATCTATAAGTGTCGCCATTTAAGAGATATTGATTGACTAGCTAAACGACTAATATAAATTTAACGAGCATAAAGGTTAAAAACATTTGCGTCACGTGCGGGGTTTGAACCCACTACAGCTTCGTAGTGGTAAGTAGTTCCCGCTTAGGTTATAGAATTTTTCATACTACAAAAATTTTGTTTTTAATTTTTATGTGTATCCAATCATGTAAAAATTAAGACAATTTAAATGTCCGTCCGTATCTTTACACCAATTCCGTTCTCGGGTTTCCCTAAACGGTTTTCGAGGTACAACGCCCGAGTTGAGCAGAATTCTACACCAGTTATAATTTGCGAAGTTTAATTCACCTGTCTGGCAAGTGGTGACTTGGAAATTGGAAGGTCTTTTAGGAATATACATCCACATTGCCACGAACTTAAACTGGACTATGTTACTATGATAACGCTGAAGAGGTCGTTAGTTTAGTTGAGGGAGAAAATGTTGTTACATACATATTTTTCGTCGTTATTGTGTTATAGAACAGAAATGCAAGGTGAAATACTCTACTAATATAACATCTCATCAAGATGTGTCGACCTATTTTGGCTTTGGATATTCTGAAATTTACGGACTGAAATTGAAACGCGATTAAACTTCACGGCTTTTTGATTTATGGACGGTGGTTCTGTAAAATATCGAATTTCTGGAAGAAGTCCAACATGTTTCAGAAGAATTTATCAGAAACATGATGGGGATCGAATCCACAACATGTTGATTATTGGCTGTACCCAATGTACCATGAGAACAACGTGACCGTCATTTATTGGAGAAGCATTGCGACATCAGGAGTAGGGGGA